AATCTTATGAAATCATCATGAAGGAAATTCCATAGTAAAAGAATCCAAATTACAAATGATCCACACACAATTTAATAATTTGAAAATGGAAGAAAAAGAAAATATAACTCAAATCAGTGTAAGAATTCTTGATATCTCTAAAGCTGCGTATAATCTAGGAGACCCTATCTTTGAGGCTAAACTAGTAAAAAAGGTACTACATTCCTTACCTGAAAGATTCATGATGAAAGTTACAGTCATCCGAGAGAGTATGGATCTATACACATACAAATTGAGTGATTTGATAGGAAATCTCCAAACATATAAGCTGAAGATGCTTCAACATAAAGAGCCTAGTACCAAAGAAGTAGCTTGCAAAATAAGACAATAACCATATTTAGATAATGAGACCAAAGATATAGAAGAATCAATAGTCCAACTAATAAAAAACCTTAATTTAATTGTTAAAAATTTAACAAACTCAGGAACAAAAATAGACAAACTTCAAACAATGAAAATATTAACACGATTAAATAGAAAATTGATGTTGCCAAAAGGAAATATGCCTTCAACCTATATGGAATGCAATGCTACGAATGCAAACGACATGGGCACATTCAATCCGAATGCTCAACATATCTAAGAAGGAAAAACAAAACCTAGAACAATAACTCAGAAAGCGAGGAAGACAATTCAAACTTTGTAGCCTTCCCTACCAATCATGAAGAAGATAGTGAAACAAAAAGTGACATGGAAGGCCTTCTAGATGCATACACACAATTGCAATCAAAATGGGAAGAACTCATCAGAGTTAACTGCAACCTCATGAATGAAATTCGTGTCTTAGAAAGTAAAAAAGAACGAGAAAAACGTCTTCAAGAAGAAACAAAAGAAAAAAAATGAAAAACTCTCAAGAAAAGGAAGGAAAATTGATAAAAGAGAAATAGAACAACTGAAAAAAAAGGAGTAGAAATAGAAAGGAAAAACAACATGGAGGAACTATACGGATCATACTTACAATTGCAATCAAAATGGGAAGAACTTATTACAGTAAACCGTAATCTCATACAGAAAAACCATGTACTGAAAAACGAAAAAGAAAGAGAAAATATTCTTCACAAAGACTCTCAAGAAGAGCTACGGGAATTTCATGAAAAAAATAACTAAATTAGTCAGAGAAATAGATAAATTAAAAAAGAGATGCAAAATAGGGAATCTTAGAACTCGAAAGAAATCATGCTAATATAACAATGAATGACATGTTACCTTTGGAGATGGAGGAAAATGACAAATTATTTCAACATGAACCCTCAATGTACATTGAAAGTGAATCTCCTATTATCGTTGGTAACTTACTGACTCCAAGTTGTAAGGCAAATCCACAACTTCCTACACCATAATCCCATTGCATGACGCTACCCTATATGCACATGACACACTACCAACAAAAAAGAAGACAAATAGTAAGGATGAAGACAATGACAATGCTACCCAAAGGAGAATTAAGAAGACTTACAGAAATTCATACCAAAAGTAGTAGTTATTTATATTACGAGTATTATTTTTAGACTAAATATTTAGCCTATAATTTTAAAAAAGTTGCAAATATTTATTTTAGTGATAATAATAATGAATCTCTCCTCAAATATACTTTTGTTAAAGACTCTCCTCAAACATAATTTGAATTACCTATTTAAATAAACAAATTCTACATTCAATTGCCTATGTATGATAAGTATATTTTACACCTTAATTTAAGTAAGATTTTTAAGTATATTTATATTTATTATTTGTCATTATATTTTATTTTAATGTTTTTAGATTTCATGAGTTGATTGGTTAAAATAAACGTTATACCCTGCACCACGGCGCACATAGCAATGTACGCCCCGCGCCTCCCAAAATGACGTCGTTTTGGTAAGTTATGTAGGGAGTTGACGTGATTATGTGTATTTGTTTATACAAGTATGTGTATTTGTTTATACAATTATGTGTATTTGTTTATACAATTATGTACATTCATGTATACAATTATGTGTATTTTAGTATAAAATTATGTGTATTTGTTTATACAATTATGTACATTCATGTATACAATTATGTGTATTCTAGTATAAAATTATGTACATTTTTTGACATGATTTTTTTTTTTAAAGAAAATTAACCGCCAACACAGGGTAGCAATTTTTTTTTTAAAAGAAAAAACTTAAACAACGTTGTTTTGCATCAGGGCGCACAATGCAATGCGCGCCCTAGTGCATGATATAAATTGCCGTCGTTATATCATAGACCGCGGTGCATGTGCACCGCGGTAAAAAACGGCGTCGTTTCTTTAAGTAAAGAAACGGCTCGCCGTTATAGTTAACGGAGTCCGCTTGTTTGGTGTATTAAACACCAACTGACACTACATTATATCTAAACCGACATTGCAGTATATCAAAATGATACTGTAGTTATGGTGAAATGAAACTGCAGTGTATATAAAATGAAACTGAATAACATTTTACATATTTGAGTGTATATTGTACAATGAAGCTGTAATTATATCAAAATGATCATGTAGTTGTGTTTTAATGAAACTATAGTATATATAAAATAAAATTAAATAACATTTTCACATATTTGAGTCTATAAATATCGAATGAAACTATAGTTATATCGAAATGAAACTGTAGTTGTGTTGAACTGAAACTGCAGTGTATACAAAATGACACTGAATAACAGGGTTACTTTTTGCGAAAGGGTGCGAAACGGCGGAAAACAAACACCGTTTCTTTTCATTTAACAAAAGAACGCGCGGTGCATGATTGATCATGCACCGTGGTGCATGATATAATTTGCCTTTAGTACTAATTATATTTGAGTTAGGTCTTGAGTTTATTTTTATGGACCAAATGAAACATTCTTCATTTTTAGTGTTATTTAATAAAAGTCCATTTCTTTATTTGTTTAATAAATACAAGCCCAAGATATATAAGCTAGTTATTTATCTAATTAAACAAAAGGAATTCTTTTGTTTGTTTTTCCCTGTGCAGCCCACGTTCGTTTTAATTAAATAAAGCCCAATTCCTAGTAAAACAATAGTTATGCTGTGGAACCGCCCAATTTATATCCTACACCACGGTGCGCGTTGCACTGTGTGCCCAGATGCAAAACAACGTCGTTTTAATTTTTTTTTTTTTTTTGAAATTTCCCGCCCCAGTGAATGGCAGTAATTTTTTCTTTTAAAAAAACCCGTTGTTCAAAAATATACATAATGTTATACTAGAATACACATAATTGTATACATGAATGCACATAATTATATAACAAAATATACATAATCTTTTTAAAAGATAATACACATAATCTAACATAATACATAATAAACATAAACTTTTAACATAATACACATCAACTCTTAACATAATACACACAAATTTTCTGATTCGGATGTACATAATTGTATAAAAAGAATGTACATAATTGTATAAAAAATGTACATAATTGTATGAACAAATACACATAATTGTGTGAACAAATACACATAATTGTGTGAACAAATACACATAATCACAGCAACTTCCTACCGCGCCTCCCAAAACAACCCCAAAACGACGTCGTTTTGGGAGGCGCGCGGTGCACAGTGCTACGCGCACCGTGGTGTAGGGTATAACGATTGGTGGAACCGTGTTCACCATGCGCATGGTGAACACGAGATAGATCCATAATTTCTAAGCTGTAGATTCATAATTTCTATACTGTAGAGTCATAACATACATACTGTAGATTCATACTTTCTATATTGTAGATTCATAATTTCTATACTTTAAATTCATAATTTCTGTACTGTAGATTCATAATATCTGTACTGCGAAGATGAAATAATGCGATTGCGAAGAGAGAAACGTTGTTAACAACAAATGAAAAACAAAAATTATAAATCTACAGCATAAAAATTATAAATCTACCACTGTGTTCACCATGCGCATGCTGAACACGTTTCCACAACATAATTTGCGCTAGTAAAATGACAAAGCAAAATTAAACATTATATTTTGTTTCTTAATTCCTACGTATAGGCGCGGCAGAGAATTGAAGTCGTCAATTTGAGCACTATTCCACCGGCGTTGATAAATTATTGTGTGGACCATGAATATTAGGTACATTTTTAATATATTAAAAATATATTATTTTTGTATTAAGGTACATTATAAAATAATGTACCCTTTTAGTATATTAAAAATGTACTTTCAAAAAATATAACTTACATACATAAATAATGTACCCTTAGTATATTAAAATGTACTTTTTATTTATGGTCCATGCGATAATGATTGGCCGGCGTTGATTACGGGAATTGCGGAAGACTTCGTCACTTTGGCGCGAGAGTAGGAAATGGGTGGTGGAAAATAATTCGAGAGGTGTATAAATCGTAGAAAATTTATTTTGTTGAAAGACGTCCATTCTTCTCCTTCTAGATTATCTTAATTCTTCTTTTTCCTTTTTAAAGTCGTTATCAATGTCCCTGCATGTCTAATTTTCTTTAGCTTGGTTTAGTAAATTGAAGCCCCGAAATTGATTATGCTGTGAGATTATTTATTTATTTATTTTTGTTATATAATTTTTATGCATTTGGGTATTAAATATTCTTCTAAATTATTTGAATAGTTGTATCAATTAATTGCTAGGGCCTAGGGAGACCTACTAGTTAGTTATTTGATATAATTATTTGCTATATTAGTTAATGATTTGTGTTACACGTTATGCTAATTTCTGTAGCGACTGAGATTAATTATTGACGGCGTTAGTGATAATTGATATCAGGTAGAATGTTTTCCGAGTTAATACCAGCCAAGGTCCCTTGAACATAGTGATTCCGCCACCTATGGTCTTAAACTTTCAAATAAACCCTTTGTGGTCCTCCAAGTTTCGAAAATGACCTTCAATAGTGTTTCCCGTCAGAGCCGTGAAATGCAAGGGCATTAGAGACCTTTCACAATTTTCTCACCCAAATTAATTCATTTCTCGTAAGACCTTTCCTCCGAGCTCACCAGAAAGCCTTTCCGGGCGGCTGTATGAAAATCCGGCAATGGAATGATGGACGTTCCAATCCCCAGAAAAGCTTGCTCAGGTACTTTCTTCTTATGATTTAGTATTTTGACTTGATTCCCTCGAAAATATCCCAATTTAGAGTTCTTTCCCTTTTTTGAACAGCCCATCCGAAGAGGTCACACGATTGGATTTCAAGCGGCAGCAGCGGTAGTTGTGGAGTTGGGGATCAAATTCACCGGCAAGCTTCGACTTCGCCGTTGAGACAGGGTCCTGTTTCAACTTCGACGCCTTCGCCGACACCTCCATTGTCACCGTCGTCTTGGCGATGAAGTCGGAGGTTTCTTCTTCCCCAAATTTCCAGAAAACACCAATTCAAAATGGTGGTGGCTCTTTGCTATATGGTTTGGGCAGTTCAATCAATTCATAATCAGATCCAACGGCGGAGCCGATGAACGTGGAATCGGAAATCAAGCCGCCGGCGACGAAGTAAGCGCGTGGAGATTTGGTCGGAAAGGAGGGGGAGGTGGTGGTGAGCTCACCGAAGAAGGAATCACCTCCTTCTGCTTCTGCTGAGGACTCGAAAGCGATGGGTGCTGATTCTGTTACCACCAAACCGTGAGCGTTCAAATCCAATGATTCATCTTCATAATCTGTGTGTGTGTGTGTGTGTTTTGGATTCACTAACTTTGCCTTTTCTTTTCTTGGATTTGAAACTCAGATGGTAGGTTATTTTCATTTTCAATTTCAAAATTGAATTTTTCCTATTACGCTATGAGAGATATTAGGGTTTCAATTTTAATTTCAGAACGGAAAATGAATTAATTTGGGTGAGAAAATTGTGAAAGGTCTATAATGCCCTCGCATTTCACAACTTTGACGGAAAATACTAATGGCAGGACTAATCCAGGTCATTTTCCAAACTTGGAGGACCACAAAGGGTTAATTTGAAAGTTTAGGACCATAGGTGGCGGAACCACTATACTCGAGGGACCTTGGCTAGTATTAACTCAATATTTTCCTAAGTTAAATGCAACCGCTTGTGCTTGTGTTATTTAGTTTGTCGGTTTTCCTAGTTCCTATTGCTGCTATTAAATTAAATCTATAGCGCTTGTCTTAGATTATTTAGTAGGCGTAATTAAACCGCGTGTGCTTTGGTTACCTACAACTAAGGGAAAACCGGGAATGAAATAATTTCACGATAAATATTCAATTGCATATTAATTACCTTTTGAATCAATGAACAGTGCTAAATTCCGGTGGTGGATATTGACTAACCAAGGTTTTCTATTCTAAGTGCTTTCAATATTTTGCCTTCATCGTTTTATTCATTTACTTACTTTGATTGTCAATTTCATACCAACCCCCATTCCCTTTAATTTGAGCACATACATTAAACTAGTTACTCCTCATGTGATCGATCCTTACTCCCGCTACTACGTTTGTAAGGTTTTAATTTGGGAGCCTACGATAGCTCGCCAAATTTTGGCGCCGTTGTTGGGGAGCTTTTCTTGTTTATTTATTTATTTATTTTGTTTTATTTTTTCATTTATTTGTCCCACATAATTGCTGCAATATCTTTGGTGGTTTATGCCTATAACTCGATCTGCTAATCAAGAAATCTTGTCGTACGATCCAGAAATTGAAAGAACTCTATGCAGGTTAAGGAAACAAGCTTGGAGGAAATTGGAGAGTGCTCTGGCCACCGATCCCCAATCTTCCACCAATTCTGATTTAGAAGAAGAACCCATGGCTCAAAATCGGACTTTAAAAGAGCTTGGCGCTCCGAATTTAGATCAGCAACCTTTATGCATTACTTTTCCTGCCTTAGATGCCAATGTGCATTTTGAATTAAAATCTGGATTAATTCATCTTTTGCCTTCTTTTCATGGACTTGCAGGTGAAGATCCTCACAAGCACTTAAATGAATTTTATGTGGTGTGTTCAAGTATGAAACCCACAGGGGTTACTGAGGAACAAATCAAGTTGAGAGCCTTTCCTTTTTCTTTGAAAGATTCAGCGAAGGATTGACTATACTATCTACCTTCCGGGAGCATCACCACATGGAACGACTTGAAAGACAATGTTCCTTGAGAAATATTTCCAAGCTTCAAGGGCGGCCAACATTAGAAAGGAAATCTGTGGTATAAGGCAAAACAATGGAGAGTCCCTGTATGAATATTGGGAATGTTTCAAGAAGCTTTGTGCAAGCTTCCCACACCATCAAATCAGTGACCAATTACTCATTCAGTACTTTTATGAATGACTTTTTCCGACTGATAGAAGCATGATTGATGTTGCGAGTGGAGGAGCTTTAGTTGACATGACACTAGAGGCTGCAAGAAATCTAATTGCAAACATGGTAACAAACTCTCAACAGTTTAGAAATAGACTTGTCCAACTGTCTAAGCAAGTTAATGAGGTAAACATTTATGCTCTTGAACAACAAATTTCTGGTTTAACTATTCTTGTTGTCAATTAGCTGTAGGCAATATGCAAACTGTAAAAGCATGTGGAATCTGTTCAGTAATTGGACACCAAACTGATGCTTGCCAAACTCTTCAAGAAGAACATATTGAACATGTTAACATGGTTGGAGGTTTTTATGGACAACCTCAAGGTAAATATGATCCATTTTCCAATACATATAATCCTGGATGGAGGGATCACTCGAATCTCAGGTATGGAAACTCACAAGGGAACCAGATTGTTCAGAATGTCCCAATTTTCAGTAGTATAGACAACCATTTACTTTAAGACAACAACCAACCCAAAGCTCCAACTCAAGTAGTATGAATCTTGAAGACATTGTTAAGACTCTTGTCACTAACACTTTGCAGTTTCAGTAAGAAACACAACTATTCCAACAAGAAACAAAGACCAATTTTCAAGAAACAAGGGCTAGTATTCAGAACTTGGAAACACAGGTAGGTCAATTGACAACTGCAGTCAACAGGTTGGAGGCACAAAATTCTAGAAACTTACCATCTCAAGCGGTTGTTAATCCTTAGGAGAATGTAAGTGCACTTAGTGTGAAAAGTATGTCGCTGGAAAAGAATGTTGATTTAGACAAGGAAACAAGTGCAGGAAGCATTGCCTAGATGTGAAGGTGTTAGGGGCAGCGTCGGATACCAGGAGGGGTCACCACTATCACCATCACTATGAATATAAGAATTGTTTCACTCCCGTGGATGTAGGCACTTTGCCGAACCACGTAAATCTTGTCTTCTTTACCCTATTTGGCCATTATTATTTTTTCTTGTTCCTGTTAATCTCAACAAATTGGTAAAGAGAAGTCTCAAGGTAAGCTTTTCTTTTTTTTTTTTTTTTTCTTCTTCTGATTTTAAACCACTCCCATTACCTCAAGCTCTTTTAGAAACAAAAAGAGGAAAATCAAATAATGATTTATATGAGACATTTCGTGAATGTGAGGAGAATACTCCATTGTTAGATTCTATAAAAAAGTACCTTGCTATGCGAATTTTCTAAAAGAGTTATGCACTATGAAAAACAAACAAAATAAAAAAAGAGTTGAAGAAGTGAAAGTGCAAGAAAATATCTTTGTGGCTAGACAAAACAATCTTCTTGAAAAGTGCAAAGACCCAGGTATCTTGCATTGGTATACTTTTAAGTATTTGAATAAACAAATTCAATCCTATATAATCTTGAACTTCTCATATACTCTTATAAAATCTTGCATTTGTTGAATTGTAGATTTGTCTGCAGGCCTTTAGTTTGTGGAGAACAGTAATGAAAGTAATAATAGCAGGAAGAAGAAGAATAAGAACAGATAAAAGTAATTCTTATTGTCCAAAATCTGTACATCATTGCAATTGTATATATAACATCTCTATCATAATAGCCTTCAAGACTCTTACAAAATTAGGACTCCTACAATATTAAGAATCCTATCATCAATATAAAGCCAGAATAATGTCCACATAAGGTTTTACAACACTAGACTGAACATTATTTTGCCATAATCATGCCTCGTTAAAAACTCGCTAGAAAAACCCTGTGGGAAAAATCTAGTCGAGAAAAGAGTACATGATATATGGATAACCATGTGTTGCATTAGTTGCCTCATTAAAACCTTACACTAAGAAAAACCTAGTGAGAAAAAACTTAGTTAAGGAAAAAGAGTACAACCATAACCTTCTGGGTTTAATCTTCAGGATTTGCAACCTAGACAAGAAAAACGTATAATAGATAGTATGCAGTATATTTAAATATATTCATGCCTCATTAAAAACTTCACTAGGAAAACCTCATGGGAAAAAACCTAGTTGAAGAAAAGAGTACATGATATATGTAAAAATCATATATTATATTGGTCGCCTCATTAAAAATCTTAACTTAAGAAAACCATGTGGGAAAAACTTAGTTAAGGGAAAAAGAGTACAACTGTAAGCCTTCAAGGCATAATTGGCATAATCTTCAGGATCTCAATTGTCATTACTATATCGTACTCATGCCTCGTTAAAAACCTCACTAGAAAACCCAGTGGGAAAAATTAGTTGAGGAAAAGAGTGCACGATGTATGTGTATTCTTGTTTTAGATTAGCTGCCTCATTAAAAACCTTAGATTTAAGGAACAACCTCATGGGGAAAATTTTAATTAAGGAAAAAGAGTAAAGTTGTTTAGTCGTCAAGACCCAATCTTCAGGATTGATTCATGTAAAATGATACTCCGATCCCCCTCAAGATAATAATCTTTAAGTCCCATACAAAAATAAATATGTACAACTGTCAATGAAATGAATATACTCTATAATAATCTCGTGACTCTTCTGGAGTTCACATGGCATAATATTGACATCATAATATCTAGTCAAAAGGATTTCATTATATATCCTTTTATCAGTTGTGCAACACAATCTTTATTGACCCTTTATGGGACATTGGGAGTATTTCATTGTTTAACCAGTTTGGAATTTGGCATCACAGGGATCAAACAAAATAGCCAATACCCAAGCAGCCTATCAAAACCATACATTTGTTTCTCATATAAATGCCAAACTCTTTTGTAACTCGGAGAATATATTAAACACAATTTCAATATTTCATTGTAGAAGGAACCCTAGATGTTGCTAGCAATTTCATCGCAAATATCATTCCTGTTGCGATTATGGAACTTCTGGTTCTAAAAAGGTGCTCCAACGACAATGAAGTAAAGGACTGTTAAGATATCCTTACCGAGTCTGAACGATTCCTTATCTACTTCAAGAGATTATTAGGCAACCTATAGTTTGACAAAAAAAACATGATGCTTAACCATATAGACAAGTGAAAAGCATATTTAGATGTAGGCTAACTAGTGTATAAAATTCATTCAAGGAAAAAAACTCGATCTTTAAGTCGAGAAAATACTTAGTTTTCCCAAAAAAACATCTATGTCTTTAGACATGAATTTGACATCATCAAGTTTTTTAAATATTTCATTGATGCTTATACCATCAAAATTGAACGAGATAATAAATAAATAAGTTCATTATCAACTCTTTATCGAGCACATAATGGTACATATTATTCTTTCTTAATGAGGATAATAACTAATAAATTATGAACTTAACTGATATTATTGATGTAAAATAATCAGCTTTAAATAGCATACAAGGGAGAGAAGATAGTGAGTAGTTAGTAGGTTGTTGTAACAACCAGTCTAACAATGCTACATAAAAGGAATGCAACTAGATTTAATCTATACAAAATATGTCAGCCACAGAAATCCTTAACACGCCCCCGCAAGATGGAGGAGCTATCGGAAACTCCAATCTTGGAACGGAACCGAAGAAACAGCGAATGGCCCAACAGCTTTGTAAGAAAATCAGCTTGCTGAGCCGACGAAGAAATATGCCGAACCACCAACGAACCATTAGTAACCAAGTCCCGAACAAAGAAATAGTCGAGCCCGAGGTGCTTCATGCCTGAATGGAACAATGGATTCTTACACACATGCGTAGCACTGAGGTTGTCACATAGTAGAACCGGAGGCCCCAACAGCTGCAGTCGAAGCTCATGCAACAGATTCTTAACCAACAAAACTTCTGCAGCAGCATTTGCCAAGGCTCGATATTCGGCTTCTGTAGACGAGCGCGAAATTGATTTTTGACGAGTGGATTTCCAAGAGACGAGATTGGTCCCAAGATACAATAGATAAGCAGTAGTGGACCGCCCACTAGCAGTGCAGCCACCCCAATTAGCATCCGTATACACACTTAGTGAGAGAGGCTGCCCGGCACGGAGGTACAACCCATGGTACACCGTACCCTTCAGGTAGCGTAACAATCGTTTCGCAGCTTGCCAGTGCACCTCCGTAGGCATATGCATGAACTGTGAGCGCCGGTTAACTATATAGGACACATAAGGTCTAGTGATTACCAGGTACTGCAACAAGTCAAGAGGACGCCGATACTGAGTTACATCCACCGTAGCAGTACCGGATTGCGCAGGGAGTAACTTGGCTGATGTTGCAAGTGGTGTTGAAACAACTTTTGCACCATCCATCTCAAAATGAACCAGTATGTCTGTGATATATTGACTCTGAGACAGGAACATGCCAGTGGGTGTTGAAACAACCTCAACACCTATAAAGTGATGCAAGCGACCAAGGTCCTTAAGGGCAAAGCGAGCTGCCAGAGTTTCAACAAATTGATCAAGCCATGCAACATTGTTTCCTGTTAGTATAATATCATCGACATACACCAGGAAATAAACAATAATATCATTACTAGAATAAACAAACAAAGACGCATCTGCCTGTGACTTCAAAAACCCACAACGCAACAAGAACTGGGAAAGTTCCAAGTACCAAGCCCTGGGAGCCTGTTTAAGACCATATAAGGCTTTGGTCAGTTTGCATACATGAGCTGGAAAGGACGGATCAACAAACCTGGGAGGCTGTTCCATAAAAACCTCCTCATGCAATGTTCCATTAAGGAACACATTATTGATATCTAGCTGGCGCAGACCCCAGCTATTACTCAAAGCAATGGTCAGAACGATACGGACCGTGACCGGTTTCATAATCGGGCTATATGTCTCAAAATAATCCCGGCCAGCAGTCTGCAAGAATCCCTTAGAGATAAGCCGCGCTTTAAAACGATCAACCGACCCATCTGATTTGCGCTTAACACGGAAGACCCATTTGCAGCCAATCGGAACAGCCGCTCCGTGGGGAACCAGTTGCCACGTGTTGTTACGTTGTAGCGCTTCAAACTCCTCATCCATTGCTTTCCTCCACCGAGCATCTTTAAGAGCCTGGGCGACGGTAGAAGGTTCTAAAGCAGGAGGCAAGGGATGGGAAGTGGTGTGGTTAATGACATAATCGGAATACCTAGGATTAGGACGACGCTCCCGAGTGGAACGGCGAACATTATTCAACGATTGAGACGATTCAGAGGTGGAGGTAGGTTGTGAGTCAGACACGGACTGGGATGCATATTGGTCATTTTTTGAGACAGTGGGAGACGATGAATTGGACGCAGCCGACGGCGATGGTGGTGGAACTGGTTTTGGAACTGGAGTTGGAACCGGAGTTGGAATTGGACTTGGAATCGGAGTTGGAACTGGAGTTGGAGCTGGTGTTGGAACGGGTGTTGGAACTGGTGTTGGAACACCCACGGGTTGTACCTGTGTAGACAAAGGAGGTGACTTGCACAAAATATGATGTGATTCTGAATCATTAGAAGCAGAAGGTAAGCTGGTAGATGACTTCTGCAAATCGTTATAAGGAAACACATGGGGCACAAATCTAACATGCCTAGATACATAAATACGATTCGAACCAAAATCTAGACATTTATAACCAGATTGGGTGTTCGAGTAGCCAAGGAAAATACATGGACGTGACTTTGGTTGTAGTTTCTTGGTGTTATAGGGACGCAACCAGGGAAAACACATGCAACCAAAGGGTTGTAACTTGGCATAATTAGGCAATTGTTGGAACAAGACATAAAATGGGGATTGATTACCTAAAATTGGAGTAGGGAGCCGGTTAATAAGATATACGGCTGTCTGAAAGGCGTAGGACCAGTATGAGGATGGCAAAGACGCGGAGTGAAGAAGAGACATGCCAGTTTCCACGACATGCCTGTGTCATCGCTCTGCGACACCATTGTGCTCAGGAGTGTGTGGCGGGGTGGTGAAATGAGAGATACCGTGAGTATTAAAAAACGGCCCAAGTCTCATGAACTCGCCCCCATTACCTGAGTAAACAGAAATAATTGACAGGCTAAAATATTTTTCCACTAGCTGTTTGAACTGAATGAATATTGTAAACACAACTGATTTACGTTTCATGGGGTACAACCAAATGTATTTTGAGAAGTGGTCTACAAAAATGACATAATAGCGAAATTCATCAATAGAGTTCTCAGTAGGTCCCCACACATCAATATAAACAAGTTGCAAAGGTTTAGTGCTAACAAGTGTATTTTTAGAAAAAGGCAGTTTATGACTTTTATGAACATTGCAGGAGGAACAGTAAAATTTTCGCAGAGATGACATGGAGACTGGAACATTACAGCGTTGCAACACAAGTTGCAACACCATATTCGACGGGTGGCCAAGTTGTTGGTGCCACTGAGACAAATAAGCCAACTGCGTAGCATGAATTGTTGGGTGAGAGGCAACTGGTCCAAAATAGACACCATTAATGTTCACTCCCCGTAGCAGCGAAATCCACGTTCGAAGTTCCTTGACCAGAAAATGAGAATCAAAGAAATCAACAGACACACGATTAGTCTTGCATAACTGGGAAATAGAAACTAATTTAGTGTGTAACTGTGGGACACGCAAGACATTATCTAGAGTGAGAACATTAGAAGGAGTGGGAATGACAAATTGGCCAATATGGGATATTTGTAAGGAATTACCGTCACCCAGGCGTATTTCATCCGATCCACTATATTCGGCGAAAGTCTGCAGAGGAGCGAGACTTGGTGTCACATGGTGCGACGCCCCACTATCAAACATCCAGGGAGGAGAATCCCTAGTCATTGAATTGGCTGTAGGAGATACATAGGATTGCATAGGAGGAACATCATGCTCCTTTAAAAATCGGGCTAGCTTGCGACACACCCTTGTTTCATGACCCGTAAGATAACAAAACTTACAGACGATACCTGAGCGATTGTGTTCCCATTGTTGCCGATTGGAGCCATAATGATTGTTATTGTTGCAACTCTTTAAAGAGTACATAATGATATAAGATTTTCCCTAATAATATATATTATATATTAGGGCCTTAATTAAGTGATGCAAGTTGACTAGACTTATTAAGTGGTTTGGTTGGATTGAATAACTAGAAGTTGTTATCCAACTGGACTCTGTGTCTAATATAAACCTGGATCGATGGGCTTCAGGATATTCATTATATAGCACATTCAGCTACAGTACTCATATTGCTCAGTAGACACCAATACGCCATCTAGGGTTCTGAGTCAAGTATGGGACAAATATGGCTAACGGTCTACCGTTCAAGATGCAACACAACAAGAACATCAACTGTAGCTGGAGATCAACATGATCATCGCTTCCGCTTATACGAGGTCAGGTATCTCGTATACTATTATTCTGTATAGTTAGATTATTTATGTCTAACAGTTGGTATCAGAGCCTTTATAATCTCTGCTTGATTGATTGTTTTGCCTAAAACAATATTAAGTTAAGTTTTTATATACATCAAGTTTTGTATATATTTTGTAAATTAATTCGTTGAGATATACATACAAAATATATCTATTTAGTCCAGATATAATTGAGCAATTTGACATGTATGTTTTTGATTGAATTAATTACAAATAATTGTTTTTTTTTTTTGGCATTAAGAAAAGATTATAATTTTTGACAAAAAAAAAAAAAAAATTATCTACTGCTTGTTTTTATCGGAGCATCACCGGTATTTGGACTCCAGTCATCCGCTACGCGTGCTATTGTTGTGTTCATCGGACGACGCTGGCTTTCCGGTTGTTCGCGACGACGGGCTGAGGACGGTTGGCGGCGAGCGATGGCGTTGGTGTCGCGACAAGGAAAGACGGCGGAGGTGGGTTGGATAACCGGTTCGCCGCTGCTGCCTCCTCCTTCTCCAGGCGGCGCCGGCGCCGGATTTGCTGCTACTGTTCTTCATAGCTTCGGCAGACGTTGCGACTAGGGACTAGGACAACGACATTCGGACGCCTGCGACATCTAGTGCTGCTCCTCATTTCAGTTGACGCAGCTAATGTTGATAATAGCTAGGTTTTTTTTTGCCTTCGACATTAATGAAGAAGATGATGAGGAATATGGGTTATAAATTTGGGCTGGGTTAAGCCCATTTGCATAGCCTGGTCCAATATTAAAAAAAAATTGGGCATACTTTAGTTATTTTGGGCCTGCTTCAGCTTTCATTCATCATATTAGGACTTCTTCTAACTTAATTGTTCAATTTAATTTTCCTTAAATCATTATTAAATTATCATTTAATTTTGGGCAAATATCAAGTTTTAATTTGCTTTTTGAATTTTAATTTAATATTAAGGTGCAAATTGAATTGTCTCAAGTTTTATAATTTATGATTATTAATATGCAAAATCAAATCATGCTATGTATATTTATTAAATAATTATTTTATTATTATAATTATACATTCATAATAGCATGCATTAAGGTTGGATTTAGTATATTATTAACTCATAAATTTATTATGAAAATATCATTTAATTTTGGATCCTTAAGCTAATTTTAGGCATTATGACCTACTAATGCAGCTTGTTTGGTTTCCCCTTTAATTTTGAGTACATTTTAGTTTTATGTGTCTCTGGGACTTTAGAACATATTTTGAACAAGCTATTTCGGACCTATCTTGGGTCATTAAAGTATGGACCCCACAATTTTGATTGATATTTAAATAATAATTGTAGCTCTTTTATTTGATTATAACGTGTTTATTAAGTTTTAATTATTACTAACTACCATATTTTGGTATTCATCGTTGGTAATAATATTAAATTTTGGGTCTATTTCAGTACTAGACCATTTTTCATCCATGTTATAATTCACTTGGGCCATTGAGATTTATGAGCCTAATTTCAGTGATTAAGTGCTATAATTATTGTCTTAGCCTGTTTTGAGACATTAAGGATTTAAGGATTTAATTGTTATTTTGGCCGTTAAGAATTACAAACTGTTGTTTAAGTTGATTATGTTTTTTAATCTATCAATAGATTTCAGGGCCTTAATAATAATGTTAAATCTTTACTTTTATGGAAAAAGCAATATAGTTGGTATATTGTCTGTATAATGGTAATTTGTTTATTACCTTAATTTCAGTCTCCCTAAGTATCATAATAGTCCTGGTTAATTATTATGTGCTACACTGAGATTAGTATTTGACATCCCTTAATTATAGTTTTGCCTTTATTGCAGTTATTATTAATTGACATTATTATTTACTGTTATTAAGTTTAGGGGCTAATCTCATTTATTGCCTTCCATAATAATTATTATTTTATGGTAATCTACTATATTTGGTACATTGGTATGATTACCACTTCATTTTACATGACTATTAATGTCGGTAATTAAGTCCTACCAATAAGTTTTTAACGTACCATTGGACGCTGCATCGAGTTTATTGACACCGACAGTGAAGATGGGAAAATTCTGGAGTTTTTTTTCTTCTCTTGTGGATCATCATCGTTGTTAGTGCAATGGAAAAATGTAGTTTGCATCATTAAGGTAAGTCGTTAATTATCTTTTATGATTATTATTGATGATTAGTGCTACAGTTACAGTTAACCGCTAATTTGGACTAGTCACATATTTTATTCTTTAGAAAACTGAAAACATTTAAATGTGCATTACCATACGTCCATACTTTAGTTTGTCGTTATTATTAATGTTAATAGTGATTATAATGTTACCTATTACTATTAATAATTAATTAATGATGACATTAATATTGTTATGATATTCAGTTATGTATCTTGAACTGTTTCGAAATAAATTTCTGTGACATTAATATTGTAATGTTTTTCGGACTTCAAATTTTATTAAGTTCTCAAAATTATATCCGAAAACGTTTATAAATGTTAGCGGTTTTACCATTGTTTTTTCATATTTAGTCTCCTAATTAATGTGGTAATATTATTATGATTATTTATTGCTATTTTAGTTATTTGCAACTTTTCCGTTAATAATAATAATAATATTATTAACTGGGTTATGGAGATGAGTGATTTCGAATCAATTTTTTTTTGGAAAAACATATTTTCTAGGCAATTGACTATTGCCATTAATTTCATAATTCATTTAGTTCTTTGAATTATGATTTCAGTTCTTATTGCCCATATTTGGTTAAGTATGAATAATTGAATATTTGTTATAAATTCATGCTCTTTAGTTGGTTTATACTCTTTAGGTATATAGTTTTATGCATTCAATCACATTAAGTGCATAATATTAAGTTTAATTATGCAATTAAGATTTGGGAGACTTTAATTTACAAATGAAAATTATACTTTTGGCTTGATATTGTTTGAATTTGTAAATTCAATCTATTTCTCACAAGTTTGATTTTATGCATTAAAACATTTTGTCATGGGCTTACAGTCTGAATCTTTTAAAATATTTATCCATTATTTCATTATTCAATGTTGGGTCCTTTTGGTTTGGGCTCATATTTGTACTTTGAATATTAAATTTTATATTTTGAAATAAATCTCATATTTAAATTGTTTTAAGTTATGCAATTTATTTGGAATATATGAGTTTAATGTTTAATTTTATGCATACTTGTCCTAAGCATAATATTTTGTTTTAAATTATGCAATTTTATTATGCCTTTAGCAATGCATACTTTAGGATGGAATTATATTAGTTCCTTATTAAGTTGGACTTAACCATAAACTTTAGTTGCGGTAGTGCCTGAGTTTAAGCACGTTTAGTCCGTTAATTTAGTTCACCAATTTAAGCTTTAATCATATGTGAATCATGAAGTTTTTTGGATTATACCCTACAGTTTTTTTTTTTTTTTTTCAGTTTATACCCCATACATTTATACATTAAGTGTATATGAATCGGGGAGGCATACAGTTTTAATGGCCATTGACTTAAGAATATCTTGTGCCACTAGTCTCCTTAAATTGATACTCTATCTAAGGAATTGATTTTCAGTGAGACTTAGTGTCTAACCACTTTTTTTGGGAGTATATTTAGTTTTTCCCATCACAATCTGATATAATTTGCCAAAATTTTAAGTATTCCTTGCCAATGTGATTTGTTTTCGGTTCATTAAAGAATAGCCAAAGCATCTTTAATTTACTGAAGTCTCTTAAGTTTTCAATCTTGGTTAATTAAGGAATAGCTACAGTATATTCAACTACCTAAGATTATTAAGTTATGATCTTATAATTTTGATTTGGTTGGGGAGTAGCCAGAACATCCTTAATCAGTTAAAATTATACAGGTTATGCAAGGAATTGATAATTGTCGAGTTATCTTATAATTTTAATTTGGTTTGGGAGTAGCCACAACATCCTTAATCAGTTAAAATTATATATTAAGCAGTTTATTTTGATCACATACAGTTTTGGACATATCATTTGTGATTAATTGTATGTAATATGATGGAATTTAGCCCACATGCAATTTCGTTATATTTGTATAATTAATCAGGATGAAATACTGGACTACGGTCATAATTGAGCCCACAGGCAATTATGTATCGAAATGTAGTTTAATAGTTTTATCAGTGATGATAGAAATAAATCAATTTATTTGATAATTTCCAATTCTATCATGAAGTTTAATTTTATGATGTAAACTTTAGATCATATTTCTTAATTTGCTCACAGGGATTAAGAAAAGGAACATGATCTCTTAAGTTTTTGTCATAATGGTTGTAATTAATCTTATTGAATAACACTTTAGCCTACATGCAATTTTTATGTCACTTGATTCTTCAACTCATTTGATAATAGTTTCATCATAAATAAAATATTTCAGTTGGATCTAATTGAGTAAACTTTAGCCCACATGCAAGTTTTATGTCACTAGGTTCTTCTGTCTATTTAGTAGTTGTGAAAAATATTATCATAAGGGTTTAATTGGATTTAATAGAATTAAAACTTTAGCCCACATGCAAGTTTTATGTCAATAAATCCATCAACCCATTAGATAATAATTTTATCACAATTTCTTAGAATTTATAAATTTAGCTCAATTATAATTCTCAGTTTCATGGTTTGCATTGACAAAACATGTATTCAGTCACTTCCCAAAATTTAGATAGCTACTTTTATTAATTGATCCACGAATCTTGCTCGGTTCTTCAGATTAACTGTAGTAAGTTACGTGATTTGACATACCTCTTGGATTCCAATAATAATCTTTTGAGCCAAATTCTAACTTGGTTTCGGAAGGTGGTTTTTTTTAGTATGCCCAAACTATGGTGGGGAACTATATCTTCATTATTTAGTTGGACTTTAATTGGAACAAAAAATTGATTATTTAGTATGCCCAACTAATGGTGGGGAATTATATCTTCATTTATTAGTTGGTCAAATCGATTATGAGTATGTATATTCATTTTATTAAGTTTTGCTGAGGAATATGTTAATCAGTGGGAGTGATCATTTAGAACAGATCATTAAGATGCTCCATTAAAGATTATGGATTTAATTATTGTCTTCATACTTCCCAAATTGGATTGTATGTCAAACAATATATCCAAATAATTTCTCAAGTATTAATCTTGTATTTGTTCTTATAAATTCATGAGTTCAAATTATTGAACGTTTGGTTGTGCAACATATTTATGAAAATGTTGAAACAATATTAAGGAATTTATTAGAACAAAAGCATTTAACTTGTGGTGCACTATCATTTAATAATTTCTTCAGTGAGTATAGTCTTTAGTTTCTTCAAATTGATCCTGGGTCATTTTGGTTTGTAAGACTCAAAACAATTTTGTGAAAACATATCAGTAAGACTCATTCTGTTCAGTTCGTTTAAAGTGGACATTGAAGTTATTTTGGAAGTTATGGTGTATGATTAAGATTCCAAATTTATGGACTTAGACCTTTGGTTTATTGTCTAAGTTATTGGAATGCTTCTGTGACTTGACTATCTTTTGGCTATTTTGATGAGTGGGAGTAACAGACGTGTCAACTCCAAACTCTTAGCCGTTAGAGGTAGTACTTATGTTATTATGAAGTCATAGAATATAGTTAGCATTATGCTAACATTAAAAGATCTTTACTTAAGGCATGCTTCTAAGGTTTTAGAGATTATACAATGTACTCTTTGTACAATGTGGATGGTTTCTTCTTTCAGTTGTGCACATAATATATTTTGAGAAACATCCCTTAAGGTACTGAGAATAAACATTGAGTTTGTTCATAAAGGACCTAAGTTGAAGAATTAAAATACATGTGACCATAATGGATATTACTCTGATTAAATAAAAGACATGTCACTATGATTCTTGTGTTTTGTTCTTTGGCGATAGTTGTGCTAGTACTTGCACCAAGTGGGAGAATATAAGATTTTCCCTAATAATATATATTATATATTATATATATTAGGGCCTTAATTAAGTGGTGCAAATTGACTAGACTTATTAAGTGGTCTGGTTGGACTGAATAGAAGTGGTTATCCAACCGGACTTTGTGTCTAACATAAACCTGGATCGATGGGCTTCAAGATATTCATTATATAGCACATTCAGCTACGGTACTCATACTGCTCAGTAGACACCAACACGCCATCTAGGGTTTTGAGTCAAGTATGGGACAAATATGGCTAACGGTCTACCATTCAAGAGGCAACACAACAAGAACATCAACTGTGGCTGGAGATCAACATGATCATCGCTTCCGCTTATACGAGGTCAGGTATCTCGTATACTATTATTCTGTATAGTTAGATTATTTATGTCTAACAAATGAGACATAATAAATACATATTCCTTCTTCAAGAGGAAAAATTACTCAGTCAATTATTAACTTTTCAGGTCATATAAAGACTTTAATACTTTTAATGTTGCGATTTTCACTTTTCTTATTTTGAGAGCTTAAAATCCTTCGGGGACTTTTGAAATTAATATTAGTTGCATATCTTAGTTTATTATTTTGCCAATAATATTACGTAGCGGAACTTAATGTCATTTACCGTGTGAGAGTATATTTGATTAATATCAATCAAGGGTATCTGCGTGAACCCATAAGGCTATAAACTTGCTTCATATCATATCACCTCGTTATTCTTATTTCTCTTCCATGCACACATCCATTTGTAACCTTCGGGGTTAACACTCAACAGTGTATTGTTATAAAGAGAATATATATATATTTTAGCGAGTCGAGCCATGCCTTAATTGCTCTGTTTATACGTTAATCAATCTAGGCGCTTTTGGCACCTAGTTCTGGATCCAGATTGTCATATAATATGAGCAATTTGAAGGCAATTGTGTTGTCGACAACTTATAACATTTTTATAAATGTCTCCCATATTTGTAAAAGTTAATGGCAATTTCTAAAACAACCAGATTCTAGGCATTTCCCAAAGATATTTTGATCTGGTAGTTCCGCATTCCTAGTATTACGTTTGTTTGGTGCACCTATATATTTACTAGGGTTTCTCATCATCTGGACGAATGTCTCCAGGACATAATTGTTCAATGTTATTTCAAGAGTGACAATGTTTCTTTACTAGATCTAGTAGTATGATTCTTAACTTTTACACCGATAAATCTCCTACACTTCTAGTGCCAAGGAGTATCAGTAGATTTATTTGCTCCAAGTTGGGGAAGGTACATGGGACCTAGTCACTCTTTTATGATTAGTATGACCAATAGATGTATTTGGCAAATTATTTGCTAATATTGCAAATAGATTATCTTCTGAACTTCCAGTTCATGCAGTCTAACTAGTACGTGGACTTGAATAATGAAGATATTTTCATTTTTTGAAATTTCTCAGCATTCCATTAAATTTAGACTTTTATCTCCCCCTAATGCTGAGAAATGATCTTCATAAAGTATGCAGTCAGCGTACTTTGGCTTATTACTTATTGATTCCCTTTCATGGGCTCTGGGTATTTAATCAAGAGACGGATGTTTATTTGATATCCATTTTAGAGGTACGCTGTGGTGGTGATATATGGAAATAGACTGCGCACTATAAATAATAACGCAGATAGGAAAATATTTATTTTGAAACCACGTAGTAGGTAAAATGGGGTATAATTGTGATATGCAATGAGTCAGATTTGAATAAAAATATTAGGAATTCCCCTTCACAATTTATTTGCTTCAGGGACACTAACATAATCTGGCTAACTTTATAGTATTATCTAATCGGGCAGTGTTGCACTCGTCGTAACGACCCTTCCAGGGTTTGACAAAAGATTTGGGGATCATTTTTGATCAAATAGTTATTGTCAAGGTTTGGTCCTGGTAGGGAATACCCCGACCGACATGCCTTTGTCCTTTTCTTCTTGTCTTTGCAGGTTGCAGGTCGGGTTTCTTGTGAAGAACCCGGTCGGTTCCCGACCGGGTAGTGCCCGATTGGCGTTGCCGATCACCGAGCGGTAGCCCTTTAGCGAGAGAGCTGGTGAGAAACACGTGGCGACTCTACGCGTTGACAGGCAGGGTACCCGGGAAGGCGACACGTGGTTGCTACGTGGGAGGCATGCCGGACGGCCGGATTTGTGTCTCCGGCTCCGCGGCTATAAATACCCGCGATAGCGACAGTGTGGGGGACTTTTGGACGATCGATAGGTTGTTGTTAGAGAATCCCGACCACAGTCAGTCGGTACTCAGAGCAACCATTTAGATTGTACTTAGGGCCTTCACCTCGATCAATAAAAGATTTAATTGCTTTAGTTGGTTTTGTGTTTATTTAATTACCGCATTACGTGGCAATTAGTACTATCATTTTGGGCGCCGTCCGTGGGGACCCGTGCAAGCAAGCCAACGTTTGACGAGCACCCGGTCTCTTAGCAATCATGTACCCGTGGGCACAAAACCTCTTCGGCGACGATCAAGCGGATGCGGCTAGTTCATTCGATCATCAGCCGAGCCAGCAGCAAGGTCAGACAATGGATCTCAATCTCAACCTTTCACCACCACATCCTTCTACTACATACCCGGCTGCCCAACAGCCGGTGAACTACATTCAACCGGGATATCTTCCACCCGGTCAGCAATTCCAGCAGCAGATGCAGTATCTCGGCCAATACGCGTACCCGGCCCCACCTCAACCGTACGGTACTGGCCCGGTCAACCGATGTACTATACACCCCCGGTTGGCTATCCACCATACACGCCTGCATACACGGCTCCAGCCGCCGCCCCTCCAGTATAGCCGACTGCGCATGTAGAGCCGCAACATCAGCCCACTTACCGGGCTCGACGCTTGGCTCGTTCGCGGTTGGGGTCGGGGGGTGCTGATGCGATGGAGGTACCACGGCAGGACCCTCAAGCACCGGAGGTTCCGACCCGAGCGGAGGACCCCGAAGAAGTTACGCGAGCAGTAGCTTTTGATCGTCTCCGACTGGCGATGCGACAACGCTTGGGACCCCAAGACCCGAGCCGCCAGCCGAAAGATGTACAGATGCAGGAGGCTAGCCAGGAGGCTTCATCCGGACATAGCGGGTCGAGATCTCACCGTCGACGACGCGCTCGGGAGTCAGCCCAAGCCCAGACAGCCGAGCTCAACGAGACCCGAGAATTGCTCTATAACCTCCAGGCAGAGTTCGCTTGGTTCTGGAACGAGCACCCCGTGACACCCCCGATCGACCAATCATCCTTGTTGAGAACGCCCTTCACTGCGGAAGTAATGGCGCAGCCATACCCGTTTGACTTGAAGGTCTCCGGGGAGAAAAGTTATGATGGTCGTACGGACCTTGAGGTCCACGTCAACGATTTCTACGGCAACATGATGTTGAAGGGCGTATCAGACGCCGTAATGTGCAGGGCTTTCTATTCCACACTCACCGGTCGGGCGGCGGAATGGTTCCGAACTTTGCAGTCGGGCTCAATTGCTGATTTTAATGCCCTGGTGATCAAGTTCATGAGGAAGTTCATCACCTCCAAGGTGGTGAGAAAGCCCTATATGTACTTGGAGAAGGCCAAGCAACTCGAAGGGGAGAGCTTGACCGACTTCCTTGTCAAGTGGAAGGCAGCGGTCGGGGAAGTCGAGCCAATGGACGACGCCACCGCCACCCACATGCTCCACATTTCTCTCCGGGCGGGGTACCTCTATCAGGATTTCATCCTTCACCCCCCCGGCCACATATGAAGAGGCCCTTCGAAGGGTCACAGATTATGCCAACGCCGGCGAGGCGAACGCTGTGAAACGTTCGCAGGAGGTCGGGTCCTCTTCCCGTAAATCGGCCGGCCGGGCGGAACATCGATCGGGTGACGACCATCCCCGATCCCGCACCAGGCCTGGTGAGTTTACGGCTTTGAACCTATCCGCGGTGGAGGCCATGCAGTACGCCCAGTCTTGCAATCTCATCAAACTCCCCTATCCTGATCAAGATGGCCCTGACAAGAGTAAGCATTGTGCTTACCATCGATGTGCCGGGCATGACACTGAGGAGTGTACCCACTTGCACCAACTGTTGGAAGATCTGCTCAACCTTGGGAAGTTGGACAAGTGTGTGGGGAAGAGAGAAGAAACCAAGAAGAATACCGATCGGAGGGATCATCGGCGTTCTCATCACCGCTCTGATCGTTCTGATCGAGATGGACGCTCTGATCGGTCGGGTCAAGACCGAAGAGATGACCGTCGAGACGACCGACGGGACCCTGACCCTCCATCAAGTAGCCGACCGGCGGGCAAGCCGACCATCCACGTAATTTTTGGTGGATTGGATGACGCTTCCCGACCGAGGGAGAACTGCCTGGTCGCCATAGTGGATTCCCGAGACACCGGGAAGAGGCAGAAAATGGAGCCCATAACCTTCTCCCTTGAAGATCAACCCAGCAGCGATGACCACGGCATGGAGGCACTCGTGGTCACCATCGACGTGAAATGGACGGATGTTCAGAGGGTTATGGTAGACACTGGGAGCAGTGTCAATGTCCTTTATCTGGACGTGTTTGAGAAACTTGGGCTCGACAAGAGAGAGCTGACTCCGGTCGGTGTACCATTGTTGGGATTTACCGGGGCTCTTATCTACCCCGAGGGTAAAATCACGCTCCCAGTAGAGATCGACACCTCCCCGAAGTCGATCAAGACGGAGTTGGAGTTCGTTGTGGTCAACCTACATTGCGTCCACAACATCATCTTGGGCCGACCCGCGATCATGAAGATTGGTGGGATAATTTCAATGCCCCACCTATGCATGAAATTCCCCACCCCCAATGGGGTCGGTGTGGTCCGTGGCGATGTCCAATCCGCCCGGAAGTGTTACACCCGAGCGATCAATAGACGTGACTCCGGTCGGTCTTCCCGGGTGAACACGATCGCCAAGGAGGAATCCAAAGACCGGAAGGAACAACCTGAGCCTTCCGAGGAAATTGAAGAAGTTCCCCTGTCCGAGGACCGACCAGACAGGAAAATAAAGATTGGCCGGGCCCTCACCAGCTCCGAGCAGAAATTTTAGCGATCCTCCGGGAGTTTGCTGACATTTTCGCCTGGGGGCCTGAAGACATGCCCGGGATCGACCGGACGGTGATTTGTCATAAGCTAGCCGTCGATCCTGCAGCTAAGCCGGTCGTGCAAAAAACCCGGCACCTTTCATCCGATCGCCGCGAGTTTGTCAGAGAAGAGGTCAAGAAAATGGCGGCGATCGAGCACATCCGACCGGTGATTTATCCCGAGTGGGTGGCCAACATTGTTCTTGTTCCTAAGCCCCCAGCTTGGAGGATGTGCATTGACTTCACCGACCTCAATAAGGCCTGTCCGCTCGACCCGTATCCGCTACCGAGTATCCACCAAATGGTCGACCAGACGGCCTGGGCCGAGTTGATGAGTTTCATGGATGCATTCAAAGGATATCACCAAATAATGATGCACCATGAAGACGAGAGCAAAACAGTCTTCGTGACCCCGGACGGGCTGTATTGCTACCGAGTGATGCCGTTCGGCCTCCGCAACGCGGGAGCGACCTATCAGAGGATGGTCAATATGCTCTTCGCCGATCTGTTAGGCTGAACGATGGAGGCGTATATTGACGATATGCCGGTCAAGAGTCGGGACCGATCCGACCATACTTGGGATCTCCGGGAGTGCTTCCAGATCATGAGGAAGTACCAGTTGAGGCTGAACCCAACCAAGTGCACATTTGCGGTTCAGACCGGGAAGTTCCTCGGCTACATGATGACTAAGAGGGGAATCGAGCCCAATCCGGCCAAAGTTAAGGCAATTCTGGATATGCAACCACCTTCAACTGTTCGGGAGGTCCAGCAATAGACCGGTCGGTTGGCAGCTCTCAGCCGGTTCCTCTCCAAATTAGCCGAGCGCGCTTTACCTTTCTTCAAGGTATTGCGCAAAGTTAACGGTTTTGTCTGGGATGACGAGTGCCGAGCGGCTTTCGACGAGCTAAAGGAGTATCTCATGTCACCAATCGTGCTGTCGAAGCCAGAGCTCGGGGAAGAGCTAGACGTGTACCTCGCCATATCCGATCGAGCAGTAAGCGTAGTATTGTGCCGAACCAATCCGGAAGGGGTCCAACGACCGGTGTACTATGTAAGCCACGCGCTACATGGTCCTGAGCTCCGGTACTCCCGGCTAGAGAAGGTCGTCTACGCCTTATACATTGCCGCGAAGAAGTTGGCTCCCTACTTTCAGGGTCGAGCGATTCGCATTTTGACCGATCAGCCGATCGGGCCAGTCCTCTGAACTGCTTCATCGTCCGGTCGCCTAGTCAAGTGGGCGTTAATGCTGACCCAGTATGCAATTGAATACCGACCAAGACCAACCATTAAAGGTCAAGCCCTTGCAGATTTCTTGGTCGAGTGTACCGCTCGGGATACCCGACCCCCCGAGGTCGCGGACCCTGAGGCCGAGTGGTGGTCTTTGGCTACTGATGGGTCGAGCAGCAAGAAAGGGGCAGGAGGAGGAGTGGTAATCACGAGCCCGGAGGGATTTAAGGTCTACTTTGCCCTTATTTATCAGTTCCATCCGACCAACAATGAAGCCGAGTATGAAGCCTTTGTTAACGGCTTATAGTGTGCTTGGGACTTGGGGGCTGAATACATTCCAGCTCAAACGGATTCCGCGCTCGTGGTCGGGCAGGTTCTCGGGGATTATGAAGTGAACGGAGAACGACTACAGCTATACTGAGACCTAGCCATGGAAAAGCTTGCTCTGTTCCGAGGGTACACCGTCCGGCACATACCCCGATTGGATAATGCCGATGCGGACATCTTGTCCAAATTGGCCCAAGATGCCCCGGAACATATGTCAAAGATCGCTCGGATTTTGGTGATCCCGAGACACAGTATCCACCGGTTGCCGGTTAATCCTATCCAACCGGCAGAAGACAATTGGATCACTGATCTGAAGGAGTTCCTTGAGCACGGTCGACTCCCAGACGACCCCCAGTGTGCTCGGAAGGCCAAACTTAGAGCCCCGAGGTTCCAAGTCTTGGATGGTCGTCTCTATAGGCGATCGTATGGAGGCCCTCTTATGCGCTGCTTGACCGCATTTGAGGCCGTTCTTGTCATGAAGGAATTGCACTCGGGTATCTGTTCGTCACATCAAGGAGGTCGGTCCTTAGCTCGTCGAATCATGCTGATCGGGTACTATTGGCCGTCCCTCCAGCTGGATTGTGAGAAGCTCGCTAGGGAATGTGAGACGTGCCAATTGTTTGCCCGGATGCCTGGACGACCGGCCACCTTCTACCAACCGATCACGACTGCAATTCCCTTCGCAAGGTGGGGGGTGGATATCTTGGGACCATTCCCTCAGCTCTACGGTCGGAGAAAGTTTGTAATTGTTACCATTGATTACTTCTCCAAGTGTATTGAAGCCGAGCCGTTAGCCACGATCACCTCTCAGCACTGTGTTCGGTTCTTATGGCGCAATGTGATCTCCCGCTTTGGTGTGCCCGTGTATCTCATCAGCGACAACGACCGCCAATTCGTAAGCCAGTATTTCCAGAATTTCTTGGCCACGATCGGGACGACCCACGTCCGGTCGTCGGTAGCTTACCCACAGGGAAATGGACAAGTGGAGAATGCCAATCGAATGATTCTGGAAGGTTTGAAGAAGAAGCTACACTCGGCTGGTCGTAGTTGGGCCGATGAGCTGCCCTATGTTTTGTGGACTTATCGGACGACCCCGAGGGAAGCTACTTTGAACCTACAACGCCGAGGAGAACGAACACTCGATGGTCGTGGATCTCGATGGGGTCGAGGAAAAAAGAGAGCTAGCCGCTCGGCGTATGGCCGAGTATCAGAAAAGAGTCAAGAGTTCAAAGGACGTTCGGGTCAACCCTCGGTATTTTCAGGTGGGAGATTACGTTCTACGTCGACGAGAGGCCAGTCAACCTTTGGAAGGCGGGAAGCTAGCTCAGAATTGGGAAGGGCCGTACATCATCAGCGCTGTGGTGCGGCTGGGAACATATCGACTGGAGACAACAACCGGTCGGGTAATCGAGGGGACTTGGAATTCCGAGCACCTCGTTATGTTTAGGCATTAGCCTTTTTTTTTGTAATTTTAGATGAAGTGGGGGCTCAGCCTGCGAGTCGGCCTTGTTCGTCATTTATTTGTAAATTGCGAATATTTTCTTAACCGCCTGCGAGCGGGAAAATTCAATGTATGTACGATCGGTGATTGCTCGACCGTTTGCACACGGCGGCCCGATCGGTTTTTTCTTTACCTTCGTTAAACGCAGGTTAAGTCATTACCGCGTTATCTCGACCGGGCGAATCCATCGACTGGTCAAATGTGCTCCTCTTCGGCGGACATCTGGGTCACGCCACCGATCGGGAAATTCAGAGCTCCAGCATAATTCCCCGATCCGTCCAACTTCTTTCCACTATCGCACCCACTCGTGCCTCGAGTGCACAATAGTGTGGGGGCTAGGATGAAGGAAGTGCTATAGGTCCATCGCTCGGGAACACCCCGATCGAAGAGGCTTAGTAGTTTTCAAAAATCGACAAGGCCAGGAGATCGGGTAAACCTGATCGGGTAGGCCAGCAGAATGTCGAAGTTCCGATCAAAAGACGCACGACCAGGCCATAAGGCCACGAGGCCGGGTGTTGAACGAGTCGAATGATGTACGACCAGGCCATGAGGCCGCAAGGTTGAGCATTGGATGTTCGACATATGTGTAATTGAAAGTGAAAATGCAATGAAAACGAGCGGTACAAGTTGAACAAAAAAAATATTTATTAAATATAAAACGTGCCCGGTACAAACTCGGGACCGGGCTCCCGATCAGGTTCATTTACAAAAAGAAGAGCCTACGCCTACTTGTTTGCACGCTCCGCCTCGCTCTTCTTCGAAGGCTCCGCCTCGCTCGGGGTGGCTGCAGCTCCGCTCGGTTCGGCTGTCTTCTCCTTCGGGTCGAACGGTGGTGACCTAGGGTCGGGAATGTCCTGAGGAAGCGTG